ACCAAGTTAGAACCAACAATAAGAAAAAAGTTATTGTACTACTTGACAATAAGGTGTTACGATTAAGGGATATTTATACCTGAACAATTTGTACGGGAAAGTAAGCAATCTAATCTAACAAAAAAACCTAGCTATCTTAGAAAATAACAAAAATTACAAAATCTATGATAGTTTGAGAATGTTCTAACAAAACTATAACTTATTGAACAATTTGCAGATGTGTACAAGACTCATTTGTCGTCGAATATATTAAATCAAATCTTATGTTAAAATTTAATGTTACAGGTTGATACAAAGAGGGTTTAAAATATATCATGTCAAAAACATGTAAGGCAAGACTGAATAATCGGTGTGAAGTTTGAACTTAGCACTCATGCACATGAAGTGAATCTCATATAGATATCCAAACTTTATAATCTAAAAAATATCATACGGAGTTTATCAAATCTTAAAATATGGATATGTTGGGGTCACATCCGCACAAGTTTTATTGCATCTAAGGTCATCCATGCGAATGATCTCTCCCAAACTATGTCAAGAAGAGAGACTTGGGTCGGGTGTGACTTTAACTTTTCATTTTAAAATTTGACCAATCGTTGCAAACTGAACGATCAATTCTGTGGTAATCGACCAAGGAAATATCATTCACGTAAGTGTTAGGCACCATATGAGTTCTTTGTTCGAGTAAGCAGGTTATCACCCTAGCCTTTGCTTGGCAACCCTACCGATCAGCAGAGGACACTAATACCAGTAAGCGTTATGGACATATTCCTAGCCATAGCTATCGGAAGAGGATCGATGTAAGCTGGTGCATTGGTTCGCATGATTGTAGAAGGAAGAGGATGGACAAGATGCCACGTTAGAAAGTCCAACATAAAAGCTCGGCGATAGTCCCACCAAATCTAACATTGTATTGGAGCCAAGTTCTACCCAGCTTATTTCATGTGTGTGGCCCGGCCCCATTCGTGGAATTTCACGTGTCCTTCCTAATCCGGCATACATGTAAGTGTGTGTCTTAGTATCCCACGTCACATGAGTACGAGTTTATATGCTCTATATGAGTACGAGTTTATATGCTATACATCTATAAGTTTAAGCTTTTAAGACAGTTGACAATAACCCTATAAAATCTTTTGGGCTCTTGGAAATCTTTCTCTCTGATTCCAACTTTTGATTAATAAAACAAATTAAGCTTTAAATTATAAAAATGCTCTGATGTAGAGAAGAAAAATATTCTCTTGCATCTCTTTTACATCAGCAATAGTTTAATATATCTCTTGCAACAAAAATATACCTTCAAATTTTGGGCTAAGCTCGAGGACTTGGCCTGGCCCAAAAACTAGATGGAAGGAATCTCTCTATGCATTTCTCGTAGATAATTTGGATAGTCCCGTCCAATGTGTGGCCGTCCGGTACTACAAACTACAAAAGGAGATATAGCATTCCTATGTGGGTATGGCAAAAACCAAACCCCGGAACTCAACCTCGATAGGCCATACCGAACTACCGGTACCGACTGTCATCATTTTCTATCCGGAAGGCTATGTCATTTACAACCCCGTTGTATTTCGGAGTCTTTGATCATCTCAGGAAAATTACAACATTATGGATAATTACTAGTGACAATATTCAGAAGTTGCGAAATGTAAGGTAACAATTAGCAATGATAAGTCCTGTCTCTTACGATAATCTAAGACAAATTACTAGTTCAAGGAGATTGACTCATGTTATGAACTCTAATAACTAAATTACTACATGAAAAGGGAAATTAATTATTGGACGTGCAATCTAGATTATGACAAGATTGGTCAAATTACAATTGTTCGGGTTATATCCACTAATTACAAGAACTACAAAGTATGACTTTTATTGCAAAATTACAATATTGTTAGAAGGAGTAAACATCTCTTAAGACGATGTTATTTACCTTATAGGAAGTACTATGATTAACTTTGAACTGAGTAATTTAGCTTGAAATTAAGGTTTGCGAATTAGCTTGGTGTATCGTGGATGCAAATGAAGTCCATGGATTATGTTTTATATTAGTAAAGTAAGTTTCACTATCTTAAATTACCTTCCAATACATAAACTTTTGTAAATATAACAATTATCTTATAAGTCCCGAATCACTGTTTTTTATCGTAAATTGCCTTCGTACATCATAATACTCCACAACTTGCTATGCTATAACATGTTATTTTGACTTAAAAAATTTGGGATAATTACACAAATGGTTCATGAACTTTGGTTCAATATATAATGTCGTCCCAGAATCTTTAATTTGTTTAATGTGGTCCATGAACTTATGCACAATGTTGTCCCTGAATTTTTTATAAATATTCAATCTAGTTCATACTATATAAAAATATCCAATGTCATTCTTCCGTCACTTTAAGTTCAGAGAAAATATTGAATATTTATATATAGCCAAGAGATTAAATTAAAAATGTATTAGATATTCAAAGATCGCGTTGCGTATTTAGCTATAGTTCAGAGACCATTTACGTCGCTTTCCAAAAACAAAACTTCTCTCGGGAGTATGCATGCTTCTAAGAGAAGTAATCTTTGTTTTTTTTTTTTTCAAGGGAAAGTAATTAATTGATTATTGGCCAGAAAAGAGGGGAAAATCAAATAGGGTAGCAGGTAATTGATGAGTGCAATAGTGCTTGGTTAAAGTAGAGGATTACCTGTGCTTTTCCTTTTTGCCCCCTCTCCCTTTCTTTTGTCCTCTTTCCGTTCCTAGCTTTTGTCTCTTTTTTAGAGCCCTTTTAAGACAGTATTGTACCTTAGAAATCCCCTTTTCGAAAAATCCCAGGGCTTTCATTCGAAAATCTTTTAGGTTTTCGCTCTTATTATCCTAATTTTGCAGTTTTCACATTTTAGTTTTTGTTTAACGCAGCGCACTCAGAATTTCTTCGAAAAAATCGCATGTAAACTTTTTTACTAGTTTTTTGTATATGAAATTGACATAAAACAAGTATCGATGGAAGTTTAGAAAAGTAAGCCGACGGTGCTTTTGTGAAACGGTACAAACAAACTATCTCTCTTCTTCGTATAAATTTTTGGGATTGATTGTTCATATCACGTGCCGTGATCGTGCTTATAAATTATTTTTGCTCTCACATGAGACATCGTAATTTCGATTCCATTCGTGCGGGAGCCGTGGGGTGTGTTGAACCAGCCATAGTACACCCACCTCTCTCTTAAGAGAGATGGAGCTTCTTTTTCTCGTGAAAATTTCTTGGATGATTGAATTTGATTAGGTGAAAAAACAAGTGAGAATGATGCTACCAAAATTTAACAAGGTACGGACACAAGATGATGATTAAGAACACAATCGACTTCGACACTTGAGTGGGATCTTTAATGTGATTTTTATTTTAATTCTATTATGAATTTGTGGCTTGCCCACTTTTATTTTTTGTTAAATTCATTCGGTATAGCCTCCGAGAATAGGATGACGGCAGCTATATATATATTTAAAAGTATATGTTAAAAACTTATTTTAGTGTTGGGACAATATTTATGCTTCCGAAGAAGTGAGAGAAGAAGGGGTTATCGATAAATAGTTCGGTTGCTACTTAATAAATAGGTATTGTAAATTGCATAATTACTTTTCCAAAGCAAGAAGAGCTATTGCATAATTTGGTTTGCCCAGATAGATTTTGTTTTTAACTTTTCGCTCAGGCTCCGTTTATTTTGCAGAATACATTTTTCAACAAAATATTTTTTGGCATTTAAATCGTTTAGAAAAATGAGTCAACAGAAAATGTTTTCCAAAATATGATTAGATATCGATGCTTGAACTAGAAACCCTACGTTTGGGCATGAAAACCCCAACGCTTGTTCTTGGGCCCTTGGCATCGGCTTCGAGCAGGGGCAGGGTTCGTTGGGATCCATCAAGGCCAAGCCTAGGTCCAAAGATGCCGAGTCCATAGAAGTTGGGCTCGGGATACCCGACGCCATGGCTAGGGCCTAGGACTCCGGTACCATTGCCCAACTCCCGAAACCCCCGGCTGGCTCCACAAAGATCGGATTCGTGAACCCAGTGCTCATGCTCGGATCTCTAACACCCGGGCTCAAGTCCATTGAGGTCGGGCTTAGGTCTGTAGCGCTTGGGCTCGAGACCTCACACTAGGGACCAGATCTCGAGCCTGAGTCCATCAAGGCTGGGATCGTCACTCCGGTGCTAGTGCCTAGGTCCCCGGCACCCTGGCCAATGTTCATTGAGGCCGAGCCCAGGCCTTGGCACTCGGGCCCGGGACCTCGGTGTCTATACTCATGTTCATTGATTCCGAGCCAAGGATCTTGGTGCTTGTGCTCGAGACCCTAGTGCTCGGGCCCGCGCCTAGGTTCATCGAGGTTGGGCTCGTGTCTATCAAGGTTGGGCTCGTGTCTATCAAGGTTGGCCCCAAGACCTCAGTGCCTGAGCCTAGTTCCCTGACACCGGCGCCTCGAGACCCCGAAGCCCGTGCATCGGTCCCCTGTGCCTAGGTTGGGGTCCAACGAGGTTGGACCTGGGATCCTAGTACCCGTACCCTGTTACCCGCTATCAATGTGAAAATTACTAAAGTTTGAATAATGTATGTCTATTTAAGGAATTTTGATTTCCTTACCAAATAACAAAAAAATATTTTTCATTTTATTTTCAAGTTTCAAATAACGGAAAAATATTATCATTCTCTAGAAAAAAATTTCGCAGTTTTCGTTAAATAAATGGAGCTTTAATCTAAATCTTGCGGCAGATATGGTTTGATTTCTTCATAAATCGAAACACTTGGAACTTTTATGATATGTCAATTTCGGCACGAAAAATTCATATTTAATTTTTTTCGTAATTTTGAATTTTGGGGGCTGTTCTGAACTTTTGAAATGAAAATCAGTGCAAAAGTTTTTGCTTTCCGAGCGAAAACGGACAAGTGCAATTATCTGCTCCTGGTTTCAGACAAGGACCTTTGACGTGACTCGACCCGACCGGCAACGTTGCAGCATTTCCCCAGTTTCACGCTCCACTCTGCGCTTTCTCCGTACCCAAGCCCCAAAAAGAGAAGGAGAAAATGGAAAGGAGGTGTCGACATTCTCCATTTTGATTTCAGATTTTCCCCGGAAAATTCGAACACCGTCTCTCCGTCGCGATCGATCAAGCTCAGAAACCTCTCACTCACTCTCTCTCTCTGAGACACACTCGTCGATCGCCATGAACGCTCATCCTCCTCCTCCTCCTCCCTCTCCTTCCGCTTCGCCTTCGGGGATGGTGCCGCTTCCTCTTTCCGTCGAGGACGCGATACGCCGAATCTGCACTGATCAGAACCAGCCTCCCCCGAACGCGTCGACTCGGAGGAAGCTCGCGTCGCTCAACGAAGAGGCCGCGCTTCGGGTCCTGAGGTCGACCGCCGCGACGAAAATCAAGTGGTCCATCGACGGTCTGATCTCCCGCATCATCGAAAGCGGCACCGGCGCCGGCGCCGGCTCTTGTGCCTCGCCGTCTCCGTCGAAGATCGCTCGCATGTCCTTGAATGATCAAAGTCCGGCCCGTCAGTGATGTTCTTTTTCGTGGAGCTTTCGTTCTCTTTTTTTCTTTTTTTTTTTGGTTGTGTGGAGGTCGTGCTGGTGATTTTTGTGCTTGTAATTCGGAGAAATTAGAGCAATATGGGACGGTCAATCATCGCAAATTTGGAAGTTGCGTTGTTAATAACAACTTGTTATCACCATTTGCGGTGTCAACATCTTGTTTAGATTATCCGATTTGATTCGTTTTGGAGAATTGACATGTTCGGAGGGACGATAGTGACTGGTGAGCAAAGACATAACTGTTGCATGAGGTGACGCAGCCTCTCGTTTTTATATGATAGTTTTTTTTTTCTATTTTTGTGATGAGAGCGACTGAACTATATGTTTTTGTTGTACTATCGCCTTTGTTTGCCGGTGTTTATTGTTAGGAAATGGAAAACTTGCTTCCTACATGTCATGTTTTGTCTTCCTATGTATAATGATGAACATGGATTGTTCAAAGTATTCTCAATGTATACGTAAAAGAATCTGCTGATACGGTGGTTTTCCTTGTTTTATGTTCACTGTCCTGTTTTTGTGGTGAGAGTGACGGAATCGTATAAAATGGCCTCTGGTTACTTGTGTTTGTGTTTGGAAATTGAAAAAGAAGAATAATGCTCTAAACTGCATCTTCTTTTCATCTTCCGGCGCTATTTGTCCAGCAAGAGTGTTTGTTCAAAGTTTGTACAAAAAATTTGAGCTGGGTATTCTTCTGCTAGACAATGGATTGGGAAGCTCTCCTGTGCGAGATCAACAGATTGGAAGTCCGAGACTTCTTCCGAGTTTGCAAAATTGGAATGGACAAGCAGTTAGCCCCCACATGAAGGCGTTGAGCGAACTGGAGTTTAGAAAAGCATTTCTCATTCTAAACTACATTGGGGAGTAAGTTCTCTTCTTAGTTGCTCTGTCTGAATGTTGTCAGCTCTGCATTTTGAGAGTATTGGGCTGCTATTTTATGCAGAGGAAATCTTGAAGATGCCATAGACAGCGATAGGATTCGACTGCTGAAAGATCTCAGAATGATCGAATTTGAGGAAGCAGTCTGGAATGCCATTGGACGGTTTCGTGTCAAGAAAGATGACCGTTGTAAGGTAACCTTTAGAAGCGATTCATTGGTGCATAGTTTCCAAAACTAGTCCCTTCTTTTCATTTTGGAAATTGTCCCTCAATTGTTAGGAGGCAGATTGTTATGAAATGACTTGGAGCATGGATCACTTTGATATGTGGATTAAAATTGGAAACGTGGAATGGTATTATTTAGGAAAGTGATACGAGAGGCATTGGCCATTATAATATATATAATTTGAGCATGATATGCTTGCCAGATGATTTGGTAAAATGACCTAAATTAAAAAACTCGTCTGATACATATTATAAATATTTGATAAAATAATGGCCAAAATACACAAATGTGCGTGCATGCGCGCCTGAGAGAGAGAGAGAGAGAGAGAGAGAGAGAGAGAGAGAGAGAGAGAGAGAGAGAGAGAGAGAGAGAGAGTATCTATACATATTTATATGTAAATATGGAAGTGTGCTTATTATTACTATACAATGCTAGAAATGTTCATGCAAGTGTTTAATTGCAAATTTACTGTAAAACAGGATGAGTATTGTAGATCACGTATCATGAGGGAATTAATGATGGTTTGTGTAGTATTCCATTATATTGTCTCTAACATCTTGCAATGGATGATGGGAAGTAAAAACCTGTGTTCTGATGTGTATAATTAATTGTTAGTTTAGAAATGAGTGAGGAAAGAGTGGTTAGTTTGAGGTTGCATGGACATATAATCTCTTAATGCAACGATCCTTATGTGTTGGAATGTGGTAATGGGAATTTTTTTTTTATCATTTGATTTGGGAACATGATGGCAATGCTGCTCGGTTGAGATGATTATACCCCATATAAATAACTATAGGTGAACAGTACCAATAGAGCTTAAGGTTTGTTGCATTTTGTGGTTTTTTCTCTCACATATTAAATTGAGCAGTACGATTCATAATGTTTCTAATTTAGATGTTTAGCGCATCACACTGCTCGCAACACCTTAAGGACAAAAGAGTGCTTGACATTAGCATTTGCACGTCACTAGGGTTTTCTTTTATCAAAAAAGTCTTAAATGAATGTGATCCATTTTGTAATTTCTTCTGAAAATCCAGAATAATTGGACAAGAATGATAAGCCACGGTGCTTGTTTGGCAAGGATGAAGCTTTTTCGTGAGAATTGTGGTTGTTGAACTTATCACTAATGCATAATGGGTTGCGTAGTATGTGGCATTTAACAACTAGAAGAATCACTTTCATCACTATTGAAATTTTTTTTTGCTCGCATGCATGGATGTGGTGTGGACACTCTCTAGCTGTGTATTGTCTCTCTATGTCAGCTCTCATGGCGGTTTCTCCACTTTTCTTGTAATAGAGTCCGTTTTTTGTTGTCTCCACAAGCTCCTCATGTATATAATATGTTAGAATAGCAAAGAAGTCAGCCATTTACTTCATCTTTTTTCATATTTGGATTTCTTTGTTTGACTAAACAAGTTAAATTTGCAGATATTTTTAAAGAGAATGAAAGGCCTAACCTCTTTTCACTTGTCAATGCCAATATTAAAAAAAATAATAAAAAATTTCATTAATTCCATTACATCTCTCATTCTAGGTGCCTGTAGAATAAACATGATGACATCTTAGTTGAAACTGATCTCTTGGACTAATTGGTGCTAAATTTTATGTTTAATGTACAAAACTTAATTCTGAACTTTTTATCAAGCAATGTTAGGTATTAACCGTGGTAGTTAGAGATACTTGAGCTTAGGAATACATGGTTCTGGAACAAATTATGTATGTGTTAATTTTATTTTATTTTGAAGTGGAAAGGGATAAAATATCCAAACTTTTTGAAGATTATTCTAGTTATCTATCCTAATATTCTTAATAATTCTGATTAATGTGTCACCTGAAACTTTTTTGGTGTTTATGTTGTTGCTGCTTTCAGCATGTTGACTGGGATTCTGGAAGGACACACTTCTACCATTGTCATGTTTCACCTCAGGGGTGTTATCGTTTTAAAGTAAGTTTCTTGGCTTTTATCTTGAACATATACTATAAGACTTGAATTCTGACTCTTAGGTTATATCAGCAATGGCTCTTTCTTCCCAACTAAGTTGTGGAAATGATTTTTCCAGAGAGTGGGATTAGTGCATCACTTAGTCTCCTTTTCCTCTTTTCGCACTCACCCTGTATATTGTAGTTATCAGCATGCGTAATTTACATGGAATAAATTTGAGTTTAATTTAGCAAATGGGTGATCTGTTAATTGAAAAGATTGTAAGTGGCATTGGTTGGTGCACCTTGGCAGAATGCCGACTCGCATCTTAATCACTGCGTTTTCTGTATTTGGCTCTTGCTGCTTTGAAGTTGTCTAACACTGGGTTGGTCATCTGATATATTAATCTTGATATGATCAAGTCATTTAGAGAGGAAAAATGCAATAGAACAATGTGCTTTGAAGTTGTGTTCTTTACTACCATAAAGAATGTGTTTATTTTTTCTTCCATGCCATCTGTTTATTTCACTGGTCAGCTTCTTCTGGTGCCGAAAAGAAATGTGGTTTGACTTTTTGGATCCTGGTATCAATTGCCCAAGGGCATTTGGTAAGCATAAGAAGGTTCTAATTATCAAAGTAGTGATTACACGTATTACAAGTAAAGCAATGCATTTGGATATTACAGAGTTTGCTTATTTGGTTGTTAAGAAAGTTCCCTACTGGCACTTTTGAACAAAATCCTTATTATTTTAGCTTCTTAATGATGATGCTCGAGACTGTGTGCGCATTCAGGGACCTTACCTTAATAAGACGAGAACACTTCTACAAAAGGCATTAGGAGATGAGAATGTTCTCCTTGTCAAGTTGGCAGAAGAGATGTCGGATGATACTCTTACTATGTATAGAAAGATTGCAAAGGAAGGGATTCCTGTTGGTTTGCGTCGATACAAGTTCTTCGGTAATTTTCATTGCTTGTGCTCTTTGTGTGCGGTTTTGTTCGTTGTGTGTATGTTCTTAAGCTTTTATTATGATATTTATCAGAAGATGTGAATTTTTGAGCAATTTGTATCATCAAATAAGACAACCATGATAAAAGGAATCAGAAAAATCGGTCATGATATTGTATTATGGCTTGCATTTGGCTAATGTATAAATTGTTGACAGCTCTCCACTGTTATTTAATGTTGAAATGGAAAATATAGCTTCACACAAGCATGAGTTTGCAGTTTGCTTGTAGTCATTTATTCTTTTGTTCCACACTCCCTTTGCTTTTTCTCTCTTTGGGAAATGTAGATTTTGTTTGGAATGACCTTTCCTATTAACTCTTAGTTTTATAAAATCTTGTTGATCTCACAATGTTGACATGCATAGTCATTACATGTAACTTTTCAGAATATACGAATGTTGACATGTATACTCATTACAATTTTTATATAGTATTAAAAAAACAATTCTTTTTTCCATTTTCAAAATTTCAGAGCAAATCTAAAAGCATGAAAATGAAATTTCGTAAGTGTAGATGTATACTTATGTGCATTATGTATTCATTTACTGTCTGCTTGAACTCTTGGGACAAGCAGCTTCCCAGCATTATATGAGAGCACAAGTTAAGAATTCAATCTTATTGTTATTTTGCCAAAATTTCTGTATTGTCTTTAATTTGTTGGGAAAACTTGTATCCTAATTAGATGAATCTTGGTTGTAATCATGTTTCTTGTTTTCCATTCGACAATGATTTTACCCATCCATGTTCCTAAGTAAAGCGCGGGAGTGGGGATTCCTTGCCTCTGCTAGCTTTTGTCTTTTGACACTATGCAATACGCAATACTCTTCCCCCCGGTCTGTATACGTTTTCTGGACATTTTTTATGCTCGGCTTGCGTCTAGAACCAGATGCGCAGTCATGATAATTGCATCAGCACATACAAGCGTTCATATGTTGGTAATCTTGGTTTCTATTTCACAAAGTATTTTTCCGTTTTTCTTTTGTTATTAATTGTATGGCATGCTTAACGGAGATTTGTTTCATCTTAGTTTTTGGAGCCTCGTTTGTTGCAATAAGAGCTTAAATACATGTTCAACTGCCAATAAATCTTTCATCCTTGCTGATAGTGTTTAAGGATGGAGGCAAAGAAGAGAAAAAAAGAGACCCTACTACATCCTCTGTGAGGTGTTACTTTGTTTGCATGGAGTGTGAGGCACTTAAAGAAAAGAAAACAGTACATGAAGCGAGATGCTTCTTCATGCATGCACACACAGTGTCCAGCGTATCCCGCTACATGATACGGTTCGTTACTGTAGAAGATTTTCATCTGAACTTTGCATGAACTATATTATATCCTAATGACGTGCATCTGCTAATAAACAGGTTGTCTCTTATCTTGTCCAAGACCGTTAGCTTGGAAGTTGACTGTAATCGAGTGACGATTGAGAGCATTAAGGATAAGGATTGCAAGGTGTTATCTTTTGATTATTTCGTGAATGAAAACTTGGTGTCATCTAAAGGTATTCTTTTAGTTCGCTCCAATGCTTAGTATGGTCAATTTCCTGTCTAATAGCAGGATAAAGAGGGAAATTCCATCTATGATAAGAACGGAAAACCACTTATACATACTGATGGAACTGGATTTGTTTCCGAGGACATAGCTTTGAAGTGTCCTGGAAATATTTTCAAGGGAAGAGGTGTGATTGCTCCTGCTTTTAAGGTTTGTGACCTGTGGATATGGGCTATCATATTAATGGTATCTTCGTCTTGCTATGCAAGAGAAACTGATCTTCAAAAATAATGACGACGATAAAAAAGGAAAACTGGTAGTACGTAATGACGTCATTTGTGGTTAATTGTGGGTTATATCTTTAGATGGTATAGTCATGATGACACTGTAATGGCAATACTACATTTGGCAAATAGGATGATGCTGTCTGGGTATGATGAATTACTGGACTGTCTAGTAATAGTAGTATTTTGTTTAAGGGATGCAATCCCTGGAATTAATTTGAACAAAATGCAGATCTAAGCAGTACACAATGTGAATTTGCAGCTTAGGTGTTGCAGATCGCAGTTTGGTGAGTTGTTTTTACTGCAAAAAAAGCATTGTTAATCGATCCTATTGTGATCAATTTCCTTCTTACATGTAAAGTGAAGATATCTTTTCATAAGCCTTGAGCAGTCACCTTTGTGTTTAATGCCTTTATTGATATCGTTAGTGACTAATGTTTTCAAAGTACAGTAATTATAAAGTTATGGATTTTTTGCCTCTGTTCAACTATTTTAATTTCGTATCTTTCTTTAGGCCTTTCTTTCCCTCATTCAAATGGACGTGTTTTAAAGGTTAGTCACGAGTAGAAGAATTGAATTAAACTAAGCCCGTTCCTTTCTGGGGAGTTCTTTGAGATATTTTTAGTGCCACGGGGTCCACAAGAATGCGTTGCTTTCTTCCCTTCTATTGTGCATTATTTAGGGAAAAATTGTTAAGAAGGCATATGACTGAATACATATTTGTCTTGTCTCTCATTTATCTAGTTTTAATTTAATTTCCTAGAAGTTTGTATTTATAGCTGTTCTAGATGCTACTTGCCTATGATTTGGTCATTTTTCTGTTATCCTAGAGATTTGCTGGCTGCGGCGACGATGAGCAGATACCTAGGGAGGGCATCTGTGATCCGGTAGTTGATGGAGATTTTTTTTGTGTGCTGGTGCTTGATTATCGTACAGTATGTGCAGGTTGAACTTTTTGCTCTTTAAACTTCTCTTGCAGCCTTTGCTGATTCAGTGCCGTCTATACAATGATGGTAGAGCCGTCAAGGGAACTCTTCTCCTTGATAAGCAAGTAAAGATTTTGCTATATTATGCTGTTTTCTGTTCTGAATATTGGAGTGCTGTTTTCTGTTCTGAATATTGGAGTGTTGTCATTTCCTGTCATGTACTTCTGCTTTGAATTTATTTAATATTTTAAAAACTAGAATTTTCTCTTACAAAGTCCTATATTTAATAAAAAACAATGTGGTATAAATTGCTGGAAGTGAAATTGATCTTTTCATTCTTCCTTTTTGATATCAAACATGTGTTGGTCCTCCAATTTTATTAGCAAAATAAGATAAATATTTTTATGTAAGATTTACTAGGTTTTCATGCTATTTAATTATTCTCCAGACTGGTTTCACGAGCCCGAATCAAATTTGTTTGGTGGTTGACATGAATGAAATTTGCTCTCCCAACTTCATTTATGCTGCTTTTAGCTATAATGTATCAGTATGAGAGTGCAATAGAAGTCTCATGTGTTCTGGTGGGCTTTTCCTCCATCCATCAGTGCTCATAAGAGGAAGCAAAAAAGGAATGCTGTTCATAAAGCCGGTCATGTTATGCAGAAAATTGTTCAGATCATTGATGTTGTTAAAGTGTTTTGGTTGCTTAGGAAAATCCACATTGCACTATTGAGTATCGTTTCAGCTTTGAGCTCTAACTGTGAGTCTAGTTATTAGTTTTGCAGCTGCAATAATTCTCTATATTGCGATTTATTTCATTGTTTCTATCGGTTCATATATATCTTCCATTCTGATTGTTTTGTTTGAATTTTGATCTGTAGCTCCCCCCTCATACAATTCATATTCGACGGTCGATGATCAAGGTTAAAAAGGACCCTAAGCTTTCAGATATCAGGACCATTGAATCACTGGAAATAGTAAAAACAAGGTACAACCAGCATATTTTGCCAGCAAGCTATTATTGGCTTAATTAACTCTCTGAGGTTCTTATGGCACCTTCGACCCTAGTACTGTGATCACAGTGTTATCTGTGGGTTTGTTGCCCTGCTATACTTCTGAGTTGTTGATTATTATGTTAAGATTTTCCTTTGCGGTTAGCTGGTTAAAAGACCCTACAAAAGCAGACTGAAAAGTTAGCTGCTTTCCTGTTCTTTCAGCAGTTTAATTTGAACATGGGACATGTTTTCCTTGTGAACTAATTTAGTAGAGTTGGTAGCTTGTGTATTTGGCCTAGTGCTTTTTAATGTAACTTGAAGTTGAACACATTATATCAGCAAAACCATATATATATATATCGGCTTCCTAGGATGTGGGGATCTAGTCAGTAAAGAAGAAGAGTAGTTTGTTGTCTATCTAGTTTTTTTTTTTTTTGGTCAAGTGTTGACTATCTAGTTTGTTGACTATCTAAAATGTCTTCTTTTAAATACAGATATGTTGTTGTCAAACAAGAACAATGAATGTATTATGTTTTCATAAAATTGCATGAAAATGATATAAAGTTCTAAGATAAAAGTTAAGTATTCTATTACCAGAAATAATATGAAACTAAATAAAAAAAAGAGCATTGTAACTTATATAAAAGCCATAAGCAATATACAAAATTAAAAGTAATAATATTAAACGAACCAGGTGGTAAATTAAGGCGAAAATAGTAAAATAGTAAGAAGAAGTAAAGATATATAACAAAAACAGACCAACCACAGGCGGTATAACCTGCCGATTGTGGAGTATATAGCTGTAATATAAATTGCAATTAAGAAAGATTACTGATATTTAAATAATATTGAAAGATTACAAGTGCAAAAGCATATAAAAGGCTCTGTATTCTCAGATCATGAACAAGATCTGGAACATAAGGTGTTACAGGGATGGTATGAAACTTTCAGATGTATGGCTTCTAGGAATGAAAGTGAAGATATTCAAAGGTAGATCTGGGTGAGAGATATGGACAGATTGAGATATAATCTCTCTTATTTTCAAAAGGAGAAAGGTTTCTTTGGAGAAAGGCTTCTCTAGATATCAGACTATTTTCTGAAAAGAACTCGATGCCCTCTTCAGATTGAAGAGTTCAGGTTTTAAAGGCATCTTGGTCATTGTGGAGAGGGTTCACGGGACCTTACTGTAGTGAACAGTAAAAGGTAAAAGTGTTATAAAAGTAGTTAGACATAAAAGTTGACAGCTATGAGCTTCTTTCGGCTCCTTTGTCATCATTTCAAAATCTGGATATGGATTCAGGAGGGTCCTCTTCTTCCTCTTCTTCATCCTTGACATCTCCCCATGTGATATCGGGTATGCCTGGTATACCATAGCAGTCGTCTTCATTGGAGTTTTCACTATGATGAGAATGGGAGGAATTTGAATTTTCAAGTTGAGAAAGGGCTTGTTTTAGCATTCCTGCTAATTGTTGATGAGACGTAGCAGATGCTAGTTTTGACAGAACGAACCTTTTATCATGTAGAAAGGGAGTGATATTATTTGGATTGATTGGGCTAGGGTTTCTGTTATGCAACCATTCTGTGACGGCTTGTTCAGCAATTCTATCCCAGAATTTAGAATCGGCCTACCATTTGACTTTAAATCTTCTGATGAGAACGATAGTGTTCGAATCTACGGATTTTCTATAGTTAAAATTCCATGTTGTGACCCATGATACTTCAAAATATATGAAAAAGAGCATCAGCTGTGGAAATCAGACTTTATTTGAAAGGGGTGCAAATTGGTTGGAGAATATTTTGTAACTGGGTTGCACCCATGGATGGAGGATTTCAACAATGGGACCAAAATGTTCCCACCATCTGATGAACAAGAAAGGAACTTGTCTAATATCAAAGTTTTCAAAGTAAAACAGCCAAGTATGGGTATTGTTGGCATTTTTTCTGAATAAAGTATTCCACCAAGCTTTTTGGTAATCAAAATATGAGTATGAGGATTTGTATGGAAGTGGTTCGTTGATTTTGACCTCAAATTTCATCATGGTTGTAGGATGGGGTTTCCACTGAGAAGGATGAATAATTTTATGGATTCTTACTGTGGAATAATTAATATGGGTTTTGTTAGAAAAATGTTTAATGGTGACGGATTTGTTTATGTCAAAATCTTTTCATAAAACTCATTTGTTTTGTAAATATCATGAGGAACATAATTAAAATTTTCAGAAAACATATTTTTTGCTAATATGTAAGGGTTCTCATGATAAAATCCATTTTCAACTGTACTTACATTTTGGTATACAGTTTTTCGAATGAAAACAGATTTTTGTTTTTGAGGGGTTGCCTGAGTTGGCTGAATAACCACCTCACTAGAAATTTGTTTTCTTATTGCCTTTTGATTGGCTATAGGGATGGGAGAAGGATCCACACTTACCATTGATTGTTTTGGTGACTGATTATTGAAGGCTGCTTGAAGAAGTTTGATTGCTTCTTCATGAGATAGTTTAGAAATATCAAAGGATACAGGTTCTTTGGTAACCTGATTTGATATGGTAGTGATATTCAAAGATGATTCAGCAGGTTGTACTGCTTGAAGCCAGGTCCCAATATTGGTTAGGCCGGAGGGTTTTTTCTTTGGGGTTTCGGCAATTTCTTTGCCCGTCTCTTCGGTAGGTTTGTTGGGAGGCATTTTACCTGTAAAAATTCTCTTGTGAGAAAATCAGATAAAGAATTTGTAATACCATTTATGAATTCAATATCAAAATCAAAAATAGATATTATGGCTTGCCATCTGGCAAAAATTTGTTTTGAAGCGATATTCTGAACTGCTAAAACAAGCCCTTTCTCAACTTGAAGATTCAAATTCTTCCCATTCTCATCATAGTGGAAACTCCAATGAAGACGACTGTTATGGTATACTAGGTATACTCGGTATCGGATGGGGAGATGTCAAGGATGAAGATGAAGAGAAAGAAGAGGACCCTCCTGAATCCTTATCTAGATTTTGAAATGATGACAAAGGAGCCGAAAGAAGCTCATAGCTGTCAACTTTTGTGTCTGACTACTTTTATAAAAGCATCACTCTACACTTTTACCTTTTACTGTTCACTACAGTAAGGTCCCGTGAACTCTCTCCACAGTGACCAAGATGCCTTTAAAACCTGAACTCTTCGATCTGAAGAGGACTATCGAATTCTTTTCAAAAAACCGTCCGATATCTAGAGAAGCCTTTTTCCAAAGAAACCTTTCTCCTTTTGAAAATAAGAGAGATTATATCTCAACCTTTCCATATCTCTCACCCAGATCTACCTTTGAATATCGTCACTTCCATTCCTGGAAGCCACACATCTGTAAGTTTCATACCATCCCCGTAACATCTCATATTCCAGATTTTGTTCATGATCTGAAAATATAGAGGCTTTTATAAGCTTTTGCACTTGTAATCTTTCAATATTTGCACTTGTAATCTTTCGATATTATTTAAATATTAGTAATCTTTCTTAATTGCAATTTATATTACAGCAATATACTCCACAATTGGCAGGTTATACTGCCTGTAGTTGGTCTGTTTTTATTATATATCATTACTTCTTACTATTTTACCATTTTCGCCTTAATTTACCACCGACATGGTTGCTTTAATATTATTACTTCTAATTCTTTTTTTGCTTATGGCTTTTATATAAGTTACAATGCTCTTTCTTTTATTTAGTTTCATATTATTTTTGGCAATAGAATACTTAACTTTTAGGGAAAATACCACCAAAAACTCCAAACTATGCCACTTGTGGTAAATTTACCCTGAGCTTTTTTTTGTGACACGAAAAATCCCAAACTATGCCACTTGTGACACATTTACCCCACAATACTTTGGTCCATAGGCATTTTCGTCTTTTTCCTTTTTCTGTTTTTTTTCCTTTTTTTTTTCTTTTTTTCTCTCTCTTTCCTTCGCCGGCCATGGCGGAGGGAAGCCGGCTAGGGCGACCCTCACCTGGGCGGGCGATGAAAATGGAAAGCGATGAAAATGCCCATGGGTCAAAGTATTGTGGGGTAAATGTGTCACAAGTGGCGTAGTTTGGGATTTTTTGTATCACAAAAAAAAGTTCAGGGTAAATTTATCACAAGTGGCATAGTTTGGGGTTTTTCGTGTTACAAAAAAAAGTTCAGGGTAAATTTATCCCAAGTGGCATAATTTGGGGTTTTTGGTGGTATTTTCCCTAACTTTTATCTTAGAACTTTATATCATTTTCATACAATTTTATGAGAGAAACTCTTCCTGATAGATGTAGCCCAAGAGGGGCCCATTGGGAGTTTTTGAGGTACATAAAACTCAGTATGACCATTGTGGCCTACCTTGTGATGCTGATGCTGTGACTCCTTGACAAGAATCTTCAATTGTATCAAACGAAATGTGTGGAACAGTCTATGCGCTATACCCAACAGAATAAGAGGTCCGTTGTACCCCTAAAACTGAGAATTTGAGACTTCTGATCATTTACTTTTATGAATATTAGGCATTAGACGTGTGGCCTTCTTTGAAAAGTTTGCCACAGCATAGGCCTTTTTTGGCATTTTACCTTCATAGAGTGGAGTGTACTGCAGAAATATTGTATATAATACACTGAGTCCTACTGTCTGGTTAGAGACACCATGGATTTTGTGAAGCCAATCTATCAACTATATCCTAATTTTGTCGTTAATTTTTTTTAAGATGATGTCAGCAGATTGGAAAAATGTGATGCTTTGGATGGCTGACTTTTAAAATGCCAATTGTAGATTCAACTTAGAATGTTGATCATGATTCAGTCTTTATCAAATCTTATGGGTTTGAAACTGGCTGGAATTCTTAACAGTTGAATTCAAGATTGCATTATGGAGAATTAGTAAATCCTGTTGCTTTTTGTTTGGAGCTTTTTCTGCCATCAAAATTCCGGAGGAAGTTATTAGACCTTGGTCCTCATCATTGCAGCAATAAACCAAAGCCTGCGTGTCTTTCAAAGACTTTGATTGCACTTTTAAGCTATGGCGGGGTCCCGAAAGAATTTCTTTTGGACTTGCTGGAGAGTGCTCTGGGAGATGCAAATAGTGTCTTCTCTAGTAAACGAGCGGCTTTAAGAGGTAGTATTCTTCTGAACATTTGGACTGTTGAAATATTGTCTGTTCTTAAAACAGTCCAAAAAGAGATTTTCTCTGATTTGTTTTTCTTTCTCTTTACTTGGATTTGCTTCTTTTATTTTTCTTGATCCGAAATACGCATAAGTATAAAAGGCCATCTCTGTTCATCTTTGGTGCTTTTACTTCCTGTGGGTGCACATTTCCTTCAATTGCTATTTGATGTGTAATCATTTTGCCTTTTGTTTTCCTTTTGTTCTTTTACTGTATGAGCAGTTTCGGTGAATCATGGTGAGAAGGATGGTTTCATCGCGGCCAGAATGATCTTATCTGGGATTCCTCTGGATGAAACATACCTACAGAATCATCTATCCGAACTGATGCAGGATGAAAAGAAGAGTTTGAAAGGAGGAAGGATTCCTATTCCAGATTCTTACTATCTTATGGGGACAGCCGATCCCACAGGAATTCTTAAAAGTGATGAAGTTTGTATTATCCTGTATGTACTCTTAATCTCATCTTTCTATGTGTGATTGTCATTTAGAATGAGTCCGCTAAAGAAAACTCAAGATAAACAGTCATTTTGTAATATTAATTTCAGAGTGCATCCCTTTGTTTGTAGTGGCTTGGTATGGTTATGGATTAACTTCTAACCATGCTGTAGGGTAAAATTCAAAATTTAGGTTTGCATATGATTTGGCTATTTGACTAAGCTAATGTTGTACTTTTATCCAACTTTAAAGAATTTCAAAGAAATGATTTGAATTCTGTGAGGACCCCATGCAATTGATTCGCCTTTTCAAAGATCATTAAAAAGTTGTATTTTCTATTTCGGAATAGATCTCTTTTGGCAAAATTTTGTCAGTGATCATCCATATTTTGAGATGTATAGAATTTTAGGAGAGTAGTGTGGTCAGGCTGGCAGTTGACATCAAACAATTGGTTTTACCCTCTCCTGGGGGCATGTCCGAGCTAGGAATCCTTTATATCCGGTAGGATCTACTTTCACATTGATTGGTAACTTCATTGTGATCCATTAGAGTATTCTGTTTTATGGGGTGACCAATAAGAGTGTTTTGTCTTATAAGGCGACCGATTAAAAGATTTGTTATTGTTCATGTTTCCAAAGAAAATCATGTTTTATGGTTTAAGTATAAGGTCAGTCTTCACGAGTATTTGATATGCATAGTTTTTTATTTTCGTTGTTAAAATAACCATCATCCTATCCAATTTTTCTCATGCCATTTATAACTGCTTTTGCTTGAGCTTGCCAATTAATAATTGTAGCTATGCTTGTCTGGGGCTTAGATGTTTAATTTAGTTACATGCCTCCATATCTGGCCCTTGGGTTTAAACATCAATCGAGCTATATTGCTTTGGTGACATCCTATCTCTGGTTCTGTTCTTGTTAAACCATGTTTGAGTTTGATACTTACAACTTTGGGGAAAAGCCTTTTCCGAAAAGGTGTGGTTACCTATTGCGCTTTGAAGTTATAATGCTGTTTCAGGTGTCTCCACTTTTTAAATTTTTGCCTTGAATCATCAATGCAGTGACAGTGGACAAATTTCAGGGAAGGTATTAGTATACCGCAATCCTGGTTTGCATTTCGGAGATATTCATGTTTTGAACGCTACATATGTGGAAGCGTTGGAAACAAAAGTTGGAAATTCCAAGTATGCCATATTTTTCCCCACTAGTGGACCGCGCTCCTTGGCCGATGAAATAGCTAGTGGGGATTTCGATGGGGATATGTATTGGGTTTCACGGAACCCTCAGGTTGGTGTTTACATGAGATTTGCTCATTCTTGTTAGATGCCTTGTACTACATTTGGTTGATGTCCTTTGCCAGCTTCATGATGATACCACCCTGGACCCCCTTCCCCTTCCCCCCAAACAAGAAGTTTTTTTACTTTTTTTTCTGCAGTTTCAAAATCCTTTCATGATTTTCCTCTTCTAAGTGAGGTTTTAGTAGTTGGATGGTATTTTTCACCATCCTTTTTTCTCATTAGACAATTTTCCCTTGCTTTACAGTTGATGCATACTGGTCTTCAAACTTATACTCAGAATAGTTGTATGCCATCGTAACTGGGTTCCAACTTGGCTAAGCAGTTGTTATGGAACCCTATCTGGCCAATGGAAGAGGAATTTAATGCTTTATTAGTTAAGTTATTTGAAGTTTAGCGAAAAAAGTTATCTGAAATTCATACATGTTATTTACTATAGTGACAGACCTTTAGGAGAAGATGAGCCCGGACTTAATGCCTGAACGACAGGGAAAACTGTTCATGCTCATGTTTGCATTTATTAGTTTGGCTTTGCTCATAAGCAATGTAAAATGGCCTTTTCAGCCACTCTTTATGCATGTGCCTGTACCTCTTTCGTCTCTTCTTTGGTGTACAAGCCTAAACTTTGAAAGTAACTTCAAAATGAGTTGAAAAACATGACCGACCAACTGGGGCCTTTTATTGGAAGAGGATTGCCATCCTTAATGTCCTTGGATAATTTTTACATCTAAGATGTTTTGCTGTTGCTTTTTCTTGAATCTCTCGGGTAACATTGATTTGACGGAATGGAAATGCAGTCTTTCACTTCTGTTGTTAGCCTGCTGGTCATTTGTCTCTGCATTGTTGTCTAGCACAACAAACAAAAAAGTAAGTAGATCTAAGCCCATTGAATCATCACTATATCCACTATTCTGATATTAACATTTGATAGAGATTAAATTGTAAGAGTGGATCTTTTTTTGTTTCCTATTTATTTGGACCCCCCAAGAATCTGTTGATATCTCTGATTCCATTTTCTTGTTCCTAACACACCTAAGTTGGCAAGGAGATGTTCATTTACATGCTAACTGTCCAAGCCAAGCATCTTAAGAAGGATTGGATCACCTGCCAAAGAGCCAATATAAGAAAGTTTGTTATTTGATTTTGTTGAAGTATTATCCCACATCGATTGACAGCGGGTCCTAAATGCTTTTTATATTCATGTGGTCTCCTTCTACCTAATAGCTTAAGCTTTTGGGTTGGACTTTTTAACATGGTAATGCTATCCCTTTCGCGAATGGGAATGGTAAAAAATTCCATGTGAATGTGCATAGTCAAAATTTCACGTGCTGCTCGTAATTCGGCTTAAACGTGAGTGGGGGTGTTGAAGTATTATCCCACATCGATTGACAGCGGGTCTTAAATGCTCTTTATAGTCATGTGGTCTCCTTCTACCTATTAGCTTAAGCTTTTGGGTTGGACTTTCTAACAGATTTCCAATTCACCGTCTCTCTCGTGTTATTTGTAATCAGTGTATTGGAAATGAAAACATTACCTTATTAAGGAGTGTGGCACTCGTTAACAAGACCCTTTTAAGAATATCTTTGTTATTATATCTTGCAGTTGTAGATACCTAGATCAACCGTCTTTTTTTTTTCTTTTCCATCAAGGGTGAATCATGATTCAATGGCTATGTTCCCGATAATGAACTCGTTGGTGCATCATGTACCATACTTGTTATGTCATTTTGTGAGGCCTACCTTGCAGTGGTTGTCTCGGTAATTGTTTGGCAGTGATGATTGAACTATTTACAAAATTTGTTGATTCAGAATTGCCGAATGATGTCCGTTAAATCTTTCAAACAACCACTTATTGAGCGTGCAATTCATGTGTCAGCTGTTGAAGTACTTTACACCGAGCCAGCCATGGGTATCTGCTTCTGCAGCGCAAGAGATGAACTGCAAGAAGCCAAGTGACTTGTCTTTTGAGGAGTTGGAGAGTGAGTTGATTGATTTATGGTTGAACACTAGATTTAACCCAAGGTAGGCGCTTGAATATGCATTTGCTTTTAGGTCAGTGCCGTAAATCTGAGACTCCATATTCTGGAACTACTTGTGATTGAAGAGAATGATCTAAGAACTTGGGGAAAAAGAAAGTTCTCGCAAATTATTCCCATAAAATACCTCACAGAAATATGAATTTTCCCACCTTTGGCTGCACTTTTAAACTTTAGGTTTTATGCCCAAAATCTACTTTAGTTTGCTTCTTTTCTTTTAAAATTAGAGTCACTAGTATTCAGTGAAAAGCTTTTTCATGAAATTACTTTTCCTTCGAAAGCTTGGACTTAAGTTCTCTGGTTTTAAAGACTTTTTCATTCTTTGAAGGAGGTTAGTCATTTTGGCTTTTAAAACTTCCAGTTATTTTATCAAATTGGTTAAGAAGCTCGACGTTTGCTGTTCCATCAACCTGCTGAATTGCCGTCAATGAAGTGTTATTTATATGTGATGCAATCTCGATATTTTTTCCAAGTACTTTTCATCTGCTTTATGTATTATTTATCTTTGACTGGAGCTACTTAAAAACTAGGCATGTGCCAGTAAGTAGAGGCATAATTTGGTTATTATATTACGTAGGTGAGGAAAGAATTATAGCCTTTTTAGTGTCATCGAGCTGGCTCCAGGTTTTTTCGTCTTAAAATGTCTTGAGATGAAAAATCTGATTCATTATTTGATGATTATTTTGGTGAAAACACAACGTGATCATGAAGATTAAGGTGATCTATTTATGGTGCTTGATCGTGCTGCATATAAGGCACCGCTTGGAAAATTGACATTTTCTATGGTGTTTTCAGTTACACGGTGGGTGTTGCAGCTGATAGTTGGCAGGCATTGATGGATAGTCTTCTAACGCTTGGTAGCAATCAAGCTGATGAAAGACGTCAGGTGGAGAGAAACCTTTGTCAGTTGATTGACATATATTATGATGCCTTAGATGCTCCTAAGAATGGTGGAATAAAGGTTAGTTTCTTATTTTACGTTCCTTTTTATTTAAGTATCGGACAAGATAAGATTTTGAGTCTCTCAATTCTCTTGCATTTGCTTCTATTCTTTACAAGGCTAATGACCTACTTGGTATTATTATTTAGAGCTTACTTTTCCATTTCATGAGCATGCAATAGATACCGAAGTGCTCTGGGGCACGCTTTGCTAAATTTGCATAATTTCATAGTGCTTACTGTGAGTTGGATAAAAACTCTGCGTGATGCATCTTTATTCCTATTTGATGGTAGTTTTTCTTGGAAGTTAACTAGCGACTCTTTCTTTTGTACTGGAGACCAGATTAAAGTTCCCAAACTTTTGAAGGCAGAAACTTTCCCACATTACATGGGAAAGGATAATTCCATTTCCTTTCGCTCCAAATCTATCCTCGGATTGATTTTTGATACGGTAGAATCATACCAGACAGAAAATCCAACCGGCAAAGGTGAGATTTTGTCTTATTCAGTTTTTTCTTACTCTCAAGACCTTTGTGAGTTCGTATGATAAATAATTATAGGAATGGGACAACACATTTAAACTGGTTGCTCTCACTTAGCTCTCCGTACAATATGAAGCCTGGCAATATGTGGATTATCGTAAGTAGAAAGTTGATTTGAGATCATGCCATCAACCTATCGGCCTAAAAAAAGAAAGTACTCTTTCTTGATGGAGTTGGTTGATTAGGATTTTATCCTATCACCGAGTCCCCGAGTTTAATGAACAGATTTTGTGTGTAGTCAAACATTTTCTTCTGCTGGTACTTATTTCTTCTTATAATTTTAATCAACTCCGATTTTCGTTTTTCTTCGTCTTAGCTGTTGAAATTTATGGGGACTGATTTCTTCCCATGAAAATTTTAGAGATCTGGAAGAGCCCATATTTTGATGTGGAAATCCCGAATGACTGCCGAATGGAGTGGGGAAGACGCTACACCGAATATAGAAAGGAGATGGAAGCTGCGCTAAGCCAAGGTGCAGAAGGGAAGGATTGCTCCCCAGATGATGTAATAAAGAAATATAAGCAGATATATTTATCTTGTCTTCTCTTTTATGTTCTCCAGTCTTAGTCAGAACAGTGCTCTGGAGAAACAAGTTACAGAGGACAGAGAAGCTTGTCTTTAGAATACTTCCTGTGAGACCTAGTTTGAGAAGAGAGAGAGAGAGAGAGAGAGAGAGAGAGAGAGAGAGAGAGAGAGAGAGAGAGACGTGGTTTTAGGAAATTCATTTTCGCATAATTCTTCTGGTACAGTTGCTATATGGTGCACCGGATTTCGAAGAGAGCCCGAGGAGGTGGGACGATATTTTCAATGAGGCTCTCGCGATCTATAACATTTCGTACGAGTACGCGACGGGAAGGCATGCTGTGATCGGAGGGAAAGCCATCGGCTTATGCGGATTCGCTTGGAAAGTGGCAGGTCCTGCGCTCTGCAAGATTTATGCCATGAAGCAGGGGCAGAAGTCGATCGTCTGCCTACCCTCAGTTCTAAAGGAAATCTTCAGTTGAAACTTCTGTTTGGCTTTAGCTTAATGTACAATTGTTTATATCCCTCTTATTTATCTTATCCTCCGCAAATCTCTTGTTTTCTACATAACAAAAGACGCCTTTTAGGTTTTTACTGATAGAGGTGATCATTCCTCAGGCCCAACTGGGCCCTAAGGTTGGATTACATTTTCGCTGAACACCACCTATTCTAAGACGTCAAAAGTCTAATCGACAAGTTTCAAGATTTAATAACACTTTTTGAAAGTTTTAGGATTCAATTGCACATTCATGATAAGTTTTAGGATTGTTAATAAACTTATCACCATTTATATTTATGGTTAATATCATGAAAAACCCTAAATTTGTACAACTGTGGTAAATTTATTCAAAATTAATTTTTTGATCACCAAAAACTCAAAATCGGTACATCTGTGATAAATTTATCAACTGTTAGTTTCTGTTAAATTTTATTGTTAAATTGTTGAGTTGGATGACACGTGGGAGTGACGGGTGTATTAGGTTGGTGTTTTTTTTTTGGTAAGGTAAAAGATGGGGGTAAGTATGTTAGATAGCCGTGTGACCATCCCAGCTAGAAACTCCGGCTAGCTCTGATGGATCTAAGCAGAACCCAATAGAGCCGTTAATCATGCTCTGGTCACAAAGCCTTGGTTCATCCACCAGACTTTGGTTCCTGTCTCCTTAGGTCTCAAGGACACAGAGGTACGAGCCTATAGAACAGATCCTATTCAAGTAAAGTCGTTGTATTAGGTTGGTGTTTAATCCTCCGTTTGTCATAAATATATCAATTTGTGATTTTTTGTGATATTAATTAAATATAATGGAAATCAATGGAGGGTGAATTTGTTATAAATATATCAGTTTGGGGTTTTTGATTGTCAAAAAATTAGTTTAAGGTAAATTTGTCAGATGTGTACAGTTTGTGTTTTTTTGTGATATTAACCCTTATATTTAAAATGTTGGGCTCGGGCTCAATCGGGCCGGGTGTTCTTGATAGGTGCCCTGGGACACTTATATTTAAAATGTTGGGCTCGGGCTCAATCGGGCCGGGTGTTCTTGATAGGTGCCCTAAATGTCCCAGGCTCTTGTGGTTCGGGCCAGGCTTGGGTGGGTTTCAAAGGCCCGTACGCACGGTCAATGAACAGAGCTTAATTTCTGAGCCACTCTCAAGTAAATATCTTGTTTTGAGGATGAACTCTCTGTTCGGTGGAGTAAGTCATCAAAAGCGGATTGGACAGAAACATCTGTAATCGAAGAGGAAAAAAAAAAATAATGAATTGCAAAAATATTTTGGCAAAAGCCGCTGATATTGTTGTGATTGGTCCCCTGTTTCGCTCGTCTTAAAAAAGTGCGCTTGATACGTGCAGCGACGAGGTTTAGCCGTTGCATTCGCGTGCTTGTATGCATGCGTGCTTGCACTCGACATCTACCTTAACCCCTTCCGAAGCACACATAACATTGACTACCATCGCCGCTACTCGACACCTGTACTCGAAACTCTCTCTCTCTCTCTCTTCTGTCGGTGAGCTACTAGATCATCGGCCGGCGATGATTGCACTGAGAAGAGCCAGTTCGTCGCTGGTAATGCTCGCAGCAGAACAAGGTCGATCTCTCTTCATCTTCATCTTTGACGGAAACGGATTCCCAAAAATTGCGGAAAAACGGGAAACACATTCTCTAAAACACATTGCAAAACGCGGAAAACGTGCCCATTCTATACTTGAATGACCGATCGAACGAAGCATATTACGTAAACGAACATACCTCTTTGCCACAGATTAAATGCACCTATTGCAGCCTCGAGAGAGAGAGAGAGCAATCCTTCGATTGTCGAGTAAAGTCGCTTTTTGGTTTCAAGTGAGTGAGAGTTTCTGATAGTGAACCAAATCCACTTACAGAACCCACGTTAGTTTTTTTTTTCTCACTTTTGTTCCCACAAAATAACTGCCATTTACGGTTATTTTCTTTCATGGGCTCTTTCAAGGTTAATGGGCTGGGTTAGCCCATCATGGGCGGCCCATTTATTCACAAAACCCATCATCTCTCACTCGCACATGGTTGCCTAAACATAACTCTCTCTTCTTTGCAATGATCATACTAGCAAATAATCTGTGCGACCAGTATACTTCGAAAGCTCGTTGCCATGCATCTGTTAGGAATACATAGCAGCTCAAATTGGGCATAACGTTTTCGAGTAGATATAGTATGCAGTACCCTAGATCAATCAGTCACTTAGTGTCTCGTATATTGTATTCACAACTATGATTTACTCAAAATCATAATTGGTCAACCTGTGAATACAAAAATAGGATGTGACATCATAAATAAATTGATCTTCCTCTTTCCTTAAACCTCTATATTTCATCCATTTCGCTTTCTAGAAATGCCCCATTAGATCGAATCATTCATGACCATTGGCAACACCCTAAGATAGCGAACACTGAATAGAAACTTTGAGAATAAGTCAGAGTCGTGAGGGCACTAAATGAGAAACTTATATCCTCAAGAGTCTCACATGGCATAAAGTTGAGATCAAAACTTTTGCCACTCTTATCGGTCGTCTCATGCATACGTAGTATGAAATACGTATTACGGTTTTAACTCCTTTCCCGTGGAGCGTATGTCTTTACATTCAATACCGTACAGATGATAGTTCAGACATACTCAATGTCTAAACTTGAGTTCACGTATCTACTCTTCTAAAGAATCCATCAGAACTCACATCTGGCATCAAAGACAGATAAAGTAAAATATGTGGACTATTTTACTTTCGGACATAGTAAATGTTATGTCCTCATCTTAGCACTTAGCTAAAGCGGCATTTATATTTCAAGCTTGAGCTCTCGATTATCACCTAGATAATATGCTTAAAATTGTCTCATCTCTATTTATCACACAGTAAATAGAGGCGATTACCCGTGTGAGTGGGTTAATCTTATCTGTCCGACATACTTTCTTGACATAATACACTAAGTATTAAGATGCATAAATATCAAAAAAACTCATAGGCATTAACAATGATATAACAATTTCATTTAAATGTGAACATCAGGGAAATTACAAAATTCAGTACATCAGCATCTACGCAGTCCTAGAGATTTTACATGACCATTGAAAACATCTCTAGGAATTGGCTTCGTCATAGGATCTACTATCATTTTATGCGTAGATATGTACTGCAAGTTCACATCCTTTCGTGCTACCATATCTTTAACAAAATTGTACTTGGTATCTATATGTTTGATCTTGCCATGATATTTCGGATCCTTGGTGTATGCTATCGCTGCTTGACTATCACAATTGACTAACAATGACCTTGTAGCATGCTCAACAACACCTAAATGATCCAAAAATCTCTTAAGCCAAACTCTCTCTTGTACTGCTGCTGACAATGCCACGAATTCGGCTTCCATGGTGGATAATGCTACACATGTTTGTTTCTTACTGCTCCAAGATATGACGCCATTATTCAGTAAGAATGCAAACCGAGAGGTAGATTTCCTTTCTTCTAAATCTCCTCCCCAGTCAGCATCTGAGTAGCTTTCAAGTCGCAGATCCTTTCCTTGATAACTCAAAAAATAATCAGCAGTACCCTTTAGATACCTCATGATTCTTTTGACGGCTTTTCAATGTGCTTGACCTGGATTGGATTGATATCTACTTACCATTCAAACTGCAAAACATATGTCGGGTCTTGTACACATCATAGCGTATATTAAACTCCCAACAGCACTAGCATAAGGAACACGTTTCATTTGTTCCTTTTCTTGTGGAGTCTTAGGACACAATCTACGGCTCAATCCTTCACCTTTTGCAATAGGAATATCCATGGGTTTACAGTCATGCATACAAAATCGTTCAAGAACTTTATTGATATAATAAGTCTCTTGCGAAAGAGACAATAATCTCTTGGAACGATCTGTTGAAATCTTAACTCCAAGAATATATGCAGCTTCACCTATATCTTTCATCTCAAAATTGGACGATAACCAACTCTTAATAGTATTAACCAACTTCATATTACTTCCGGCAATCAGTATGTCATCATCATATAATGATAAGATCACAAATTGATCTTTGGATCCTTTGACATATACGCAACAATCTTCATCAATCATTGTAAAATCAGAGGCCACTATGGCATTATGAAAACGTGTATACCATTGTCTTGAAGACTGCTTAAGGCCATATATCGATCTCAAAAGTTGACATACTTTTTGTTCTTGGCCTTTCACAATGAAGCTAATGGGTTACTCCATGTAAATTTCTTCTTCTAATTCTCTATTTAGAAAAATAGTCTTTACATCCATTTGATGTAATTCAAGATCTATACTTGCCACTATTGCCAGAATAAGGCGAATTAAAGTAAATCTCACTACAGGAGAAAAAGTTTCCTCATAATCAATTCCTTCCTGTTGATTATACCCTTTCGCCATGAGGCGAGCTTTATATCTTTCTATTGAGTCATCAGCTTTTCGCTTTATTTTGAGAACCCATTTATTCCTAATAGCTTTGCATCCTTTTGGAAGATCAACCAGTTCCCAAACATGGTTTGACTTCATTGACTCCATTTCTTCTTCCATTGCATCTATCCATTTTTCCTTATTAGGGCAACTTAGAGCCTCATTTATATTCCTTGGCTCATCTTTATCTTGTGGAGCGACCATGAAAATTTCCCCTTCAATGTCAAAACGTCGTCGAGGAACACTTTTGCGACTTGTTCGCCGTACGGGAGATTGTACACGTGGTACATCATTCTCCATTACGCTCCCATTTGGATTAGATAATGATGGTATCGTCTCATCAAACTGTTGCAATTGAGATTGAGTCGAATTTAATTCCTCATTTCTCACATTGCTCCCACTTGGACGATCTTCATCAATTTCATTATCATGATCATAAGTTTCAAAAAGTGAATAGTCCTCACCTATTTCGCCCTTCTTAGGAAACTCATTTTCTAAGAATGTGACATCTCGTGATTCAAATTCAGTAATACTCCCACTTTCTTGCTCACCTATAAACACATACCCTTTCAAGTGCTTTGAATATCTTATAAAAATACTCTTCTTGCCTCTAGGACCTAGTTTTCCATACTTGTGAGAGGGCTCGTGAGTATAAGCAGCACAACCCCAAGGTTTAAGAAAACTTAAATCGGGTTTTCTACCTGTCCATAACTCATACGGAGTGGAAGTAACTGATTTAGAAAGCACACGGTTAAGTAAATAGGAAGCAGTTAACAAAACATCACCCCAAAAAGTGATAGGTCAGTTAGCTTGTGCCATCATAGACCTAACCATTTTCAATAGGGTTCTGTTTCTCCTCTCGGCAACACCATTTTGTTGAGGAGTATATGGAATAGACAACTATTTTTCTATTCCTTTTTCATCACATAAATTTCTGAACTCATCAGATAAATATTCTCGACCTCGATCGGATCTAAACGTTTTTATTTTCTTATTTAATTGATTTTCTACCAAGTTCATAAATTTCTTGAAGCAACTTAATGCCTCAAATTTATGAGAAATCAAATAGACATATCCAAATCAAGTATAATCATCAATGAATGTGATGAAATACACAGCCCCATGCCTTGCTCTTACATTCATTGGACCACAGATGTCAGAATGGATTAGTTGCAAAGTAAACTCAGCTCTTGTACTGTAACAACCCGAATTTCGATGTAATTCCGGGATCAATAAAACTGATATTAATTCGCATTTCATTTTAGTAAGTCTCGCCCGG